TCTCGGGGAGCGGACACGCTACGTGCGTCCGGCGGCTTTTCCTGCCCTTAGCGGCCCCCCAGGGCCCCGCGCTCACGGCCCTCCCCTCCCCCGCCCCCCCCCCCCCCCGCGCGAGGGGCGCCGGGCTCCGCCTCACGGGCTTCTTGGCGGGCTCCTTCTTGCGCCTCTTCTCCGAGTTGCTGGGGTAGGGCAGGTCGCGGCCGCGGTAGGACGGGCCCCGGCTCAGCTCGAGCTCGCTGTAGGGCGGCAGCGCGTCGTCGGCCGAGTCGTCGTCGTCGTCGTCGTCGTCGCCGCTCTGCGGCGAGGCCGCCTTGTAGGTGCCGGGCGGCGACCAGGCGTAGTAGGAGGCGCTGCGGCGGCCGAGCTGCGCGCTGAGGCGCGACGGCGTCTCCAGGCTGCCCCCGCGGCTGGCGCCCTCGGGCCGCGCCTGGCGCTCCAGGCCTGCGGCGCGCGGCGCGTGCTCGTACTTGGGCGCGGCGCCCGGCGTCCGGCTCACCAGGCGCGGCAGCGGCGCGTCGTCCGGCCGCCGGCGCGGCGGGGGGCTGGGCGCCCAGGCGCGGCCCGCGTCGCCCAGGGGCTCGCGGCCGCGGCTGCGGGGGCCGTAGTACTCCTCGGGCGAGTCGTCCGGGTAGAAGCCGCCGAGGGCGTGCGCCTCCGGGCGCTCGAAGCGGCCGCCGGCCCGCGCCTCGTGGCTGTCGCCGTCGGCCCTGCGGGCGCGCGCGCCGTACGAGTCGGCGAAGGCGGCCAGCTCGTCCATGGACACGGCCGGCACCCCGGCGGCGAAGTTCTTCCGCGACAGCATCTCCGACTTGGAGCGCTGCTGGCTGGGGGCGGAGGGCAGAGGGGAGAGGTCAGCCGGCCCGCGGGGCCGACACCCGGGCCTGCGCGTGCGCCCCCCACCCCCGCCCCAGGGCGCCGTGAGCACCTCGGACTCGCAGACAGCAAAGCGAGCGCGCCCGTGGCTGGCTCCCGAATTCGGGCCGAGCGTCAACACGGAGTTGTGTCGATCAAAGTACTTCGTGGCATACACGGTGTGGAAACACACAGTGGGCCTTCCGGTCTCTTTATGGGACTTGTGGATGGCAGCCACTTGTCGCCTCACACCGTCCCGGCCAGCGTGGGCGGGCTGGCCTGCGGCACGACACACACCACACACGCTGTGGCCCAGGGACACCCCGTGTTCTTCGCTGACACACAAAGAGCCCAGGGCCACCTGTCTGTGCGAGTGGCCCGCAGCCGGGCAGTCTGAGAAAGGACACGGCCTAGTGACCTTCAGGATAAAGGACGGGAGCGTGGCGGCGCCGTCCAGTGGGAGGCGGCCACACAAACGGTGCCCATCTCGGCCCCCCATACTCACTGGTCATGTCACTCGACTAAGCTCCTTACCGTCTGTACATTCCAGTCCCCCCCCCCCCCCCCCCCCCCCC